GGAAAGGTTTTGTTTGTTTTGTGTTTTGTATTAACAAAATGAAACCAGCCAGGTGTGGTGGCTCAGGCCTGTAATCCTAGCACTCTGGGAGGCCAAGGCAAGAGGATCACTCAAGGTCAGGAGTTCCAAACCAGCCTGAGTAAGGGTGAGACCCTGTCTCTACTAAAAATAGAAAGAAATTAATTGGCCAACCAAAATATATAGAAAAAATTAGCTAGGCATGGTGGCACATGCCTGTAGTCCCAGCTATTAAGGAGGCTGAGGCAGGAGGATTGCTTGGGCCCAGGAGTTTGAGGTTGCTGTGAGTTAGGCTGATGCCACGGCACTCTAGCCCGGGCAACAGAGTGAGACTCTGCCTCAAAACAAACAAACAAACAAACAAAAAATAACGCATAGTATCCAGGAAGGAGGAGTTCTATTATAGTGTAAAATGTATAGAGGGAATACATGGTATATGTCTGTATTACTTAATGATATATATGCAATTATTCAGATGCTTGTTCTCCATAGCAGGTTTTGATCTTTAGCATGTAGATAACTTATAAAAGACACATTGATCTGTAGGAATTATTTAACTACATAGATGTATATCAAAACATCATGTTGACAGCTTATAAAATATACAATAAGAATAAAAATTAAAAATAACAGGACACTTGGCTCCATGTTCAGACAGTTTTTCTCTGACTTACATAGTTTTAGCTTTCCATTCTCCAAGCACAAATCAAAGAGCTAAAACAATAAGTAACCGGAGACTTTATCCTGATTGATTCCCTCTCTCTCTCTCTCTCTCTCTCTCTCTCTCTCTCTCTCTCTCTTTCTTTCTTTCTTTCTTTCTTTCTTTTCATCACTGAGTACCTGATATATGCCAGGTAGTGTACTAGGCATCATCAAAGATACATAAGATACATGCTGAAATTCACAATCTAACAGAACAAACATAAAACAAAGAGAGGAAATATATTATGGCAATAAATATTTGGACTCTATATAGAGTAAGGATATTTCAGCTAAATCTTAAAGCATGAGAAGAAATGTGCCATTCGAAAATGAGAAAGGGGAGGGAGGACTTCAGGGAAGATCCAAGCTGAGCATAGTGGAGTGACAGCAGAGCACACTCTATTTGGGGAAGGGCAGGCGGTTCAGCATGGTTGGCACAGAAAGTTCTGGGATGGGAACAGGCTGGCAAGAGAAGAGCTCACTGAAGCCAAAGTAATTGAACTGCGATTGAATTTTAGATATGATAATGTCTATAAGAAATCTGGCAACACGGTGGGCAGGTGACTCTACTAGAACAAAGACAGAATATTTAGGCCTTCTGGGGGCTAAGCAGGAATGGATTACTTTTGTTGAGCAGTTACCGTGGAATGGACACTATGCCTGATTATATTATATATTCCATCTCCTTTCATTTGCACCACAACCTTGTGACTTAAAGTTGATAAAAACTTAAATAAAAGATGGGTGTGGTTGTGTGTGCCTATAGTCCCAGCTACTCGGGAGACTGAGGCAGGAGGATTGCTTGAGCCCAGGAGTTTGAGGTTGCTGTGAGTTAGGCTGATGCCACGGCACTCTAGCCCGGGCAACAGAGTGAGACTCTGCCTCAAAAAACAAACAAACAAACAAACAAACAAAATAACGCATAGTATCCAGGAAGGAGGAGTTTCTATTATAGTGTAAAATGTATAGAGGGAATACATAGGTATATGTCTGTAGTTACTTAATGATATATATGCAAATTATTCAGATGCTTGTTCTCCATAGCAGGTTTTGATCTTTAGCATGTAGATAACTTATAAAAGCACATTGGATCTGTAGGAATTATTTAACTACATAGATGTATATCAAAACATCATGTTGCACAGCTTAAACATATACAATAAGAATAAAATTAAATAAATAACAGGACATTGGCTCCATGTTCAGACAGTTTTTCTCTGACCTTACATAGTTTTAGCTTTCCATTCTCCAAGCACAAATCAAAGAGCTAAAACAATAACGTAACCGGAGACTTTATCCTGATTGTTTCAGATTTCAAAAGCCAATAAATCAGTCATGGGCTGAGGGAGGAAAATTAAAGTCTACCACAACGAACATATTTCTGCCTCTTTTTCTGTTGTTTCCTATAGGTTTTGCTTTATGAATTGTGATGTGCTATTTGTATCATGTGTTGATGTCTATACCTTTTTATATCTTTGTTGCAGATTAAGTCATTTCCTAATATCACTGCTTCCTCTGCCTTCTCCCAACAGTTATCTATGAGAAAAAAAAAATGTTATTTGTGAGATTTAGCTGATACTGATAATTAGCATTACCAAGAAACTTACAACATTTACTGTAGAGCAGGGGTCCTCAAACTTTTTAAACAGGGGGCCAGTTCACTGTCCCTCAGACCGTTGGAGGGCCATTGGAGAGTGTGGGCACATTCCACACATGCGCACTGTGGGCTCAGGACGAGTCGGCTGCTAAGCAGGACAGGCAGCGGTGGCAAAATCACCTGGGGGGCCGGATAAATGTCCTCGGTGGGCCACATGTGGCCCGAGGGCCATAGTTTGAGGACGCCTGCTCTAGAGTTTGTGTTCATTTGTTTGTTTCCCCAAATATAGCTAAAGGGGAGGGAAGAATCTACCAGATCTACTATGAGTTTTTAGTAAATCTCTTGTTTGGATTTCTTCCTATTTCACTGGCTGCTCATTCTCATTTTCCTTCACTCTTGCTCCTCTGTTTAGTATGTAAAGATCCAGGCATCCCCAGGACTGATCCTCTTCATATATCACACCCAGGCAAATGACTTTCAATACCATGTATACACTGATGACACCCAGTACTCGAGTTCTAAGTCTCTGTCTCCCAGAACTCCAGACTTATGGGTCCAACTGGCTCCTGGACATGGGTGTCCAATGGACGTCTCCAATTTAACATCATCAAAACAAAACTCCGGGACCCTTCCCAACCAGCTCTCCCGCTGGTCTTGTACATCTCATTAAACACCTCTAAGTACCATAGAGGGACTCAGAAAAGATCTTAGAATGAATGAATGAAAATTGTTACAAAACATGATCTAAAATGAGTCAGACCATATGTCCAGCTTCTGGTGTGTGCTAATGAATGACACTCTGTGGACTGCATATCTGTATATAACTGTCTTGTTTCTTCTAGAACTGATGAACAAACATGTTCTGCCTTCCCAGATGAAAGAAACGAGACATTTACCTTAAAGTAAGCTCGGTCAGCATCAGGTCGAGGCTGTGAGCATTAAGACTGACTACGGATGACCTGTTGAACCACTTTCTGGGGTGGCCTCTTAAGTACCTGTCACAGTCCACAATCTGAGAGCAAACGTAAATAAACCTGAATGCCTTTCAACTTGGGACATGGGATGCTTGACAGTCACCTCTATTTCACTTTTTGCTGGCTGGATCTGCTCGTCTTTAAGTTTCAGGGCCTGATTCATCAGTTTCTATAAATCCATTTACAAACTCGGTCAGCATTTTGCTCTGTCAGCCCAGGAGTAAAACAGACTAACTGAAGACTTGGAAAAAAACAAAACGACAAAACAACTTGTTTTTCACTGAGTCTGCTTTCAGATCACTTCCAAGAACATAATACGGCAGAAGGTCAGAGTTATCTATGTCTCACTTCTTCATCTGAATACAAAACACATCCTATTTTACTCTTTTTTTTTTTTTTTAGTCTTTTGTGCCCCCAGTTTTAGACTTATTCAAGAAATAAAGAAAAGTGAATCACTGATGATTCTATTCATAAAGGTAAAACACACTGCAGCATGAAGGCTATACCTAGGTGTTAATAGACTATATGTCCTATCAGACTGTAATTTTCACAGCTCTAAAAAGTGAGATACAAATATATGTATAAAATAACATATATAATGCCAGTTACTCAGGAGGCTGAGGCAGGAGGATCGCTTGAGCCCAGGAGTTTGAGGTTGCTGTGAGCTAGGCTGATGCCACAGCACTACAGCCTGGGCAACAGAGTAAGACCCCATCTCTTAAAAAAAATCATCGTAATAATATATAATACAAGAGTTGCTGACCTTTTATTTTATTTTATTATTTTTTTATTTTTTCTCTTTATGCTCCCCTCCCTTCTTCACTAAACTTTTAAAATACAGGGCTCTTTCATTTATACTGATAGGCGCAATGACTCTCTTTTTCATTTTTCTCCTTTCTCAGTAAAATAGAACTTGCTCAAATCGCTGGCTCCTACTCTTCAAGTTGACTCAGCTTGTCTTCATGATTTAAAAGTGCCAGAAACGTTTTCTTAAAAATTCCTTTGAAAAGAAAGTTTAGGTATAAACAAGAAATCTCCATATTTATGGAAGACTGGTTTGCCAAAAATCATGTCTTCTGGATCTTATTTCAACCACAAGCTCCTTCTAAAACTGCCATTGTCCATAGGGAAAGAGCTTATTTGTGAGCTGTATTCAATAAAAGACCTTAGAGAAGATATCCTTGAAACTATTTACCTTTCTCTTATTTGATTGCAAGCAGCAATCACCCTGAAAACCTTCTTTGTACTTCCAACATTTAATGATCTAACCAGATATTTTTAAATTACCTGTTTTTCTAAACTATCAATAGCCCTAGACCTCTAATAATTAAGTAAAATCACATGTTACTTCTCTGGGCTTCAGTTTCTTCTTCATAAAATAAGAAGCTTGAAATTAAAAAAATTTTAAATGCTAAAGTTGCCAAAAATCTAGTAAAGGTAGTGAAACTGTGTATGCCTGGCACCCTGTTTCTCTGACCTGGATGTTTAGCATTTCCTTTCCCTGGCTTCCTTACTTCAGAAAACCCAATTCTGTGTCCCATCATTAAATTCCGAAGTCGGGAATCTAAAACTAGGGTCCCTAACCTATGATGACTTGATAATTATTTCATTATATATTATAATGTAATCATAATAGAAAGTACACAATAAATGTAATGTGCTGGAATCATCCCCAAACCATCCCTCCTATGCCCCCACCAGTCCATGGAAATTTTGTCTTCCATGAAAATGGTCCCTGGTGTCAAAACGGTCAGGGACCACTGATCGAAAATCCTAAAATACATTCCTGAAAATTAAATTTTGCTACGACCTCTGAAATGGAAGTCCCAACTTAAAGTTATTTTTGCTTTATTTATTTACTTTTTTATTGTTAAGGTGAATGTTGATGTACATATTCATAGTGCGATGATTATTATAGGCAAGCAATTTAACATGTCTGTCATTTTCCATAGTTATTTGCATGTGTGTATGATAAGAACACCTAAAATCTATTGGCAAATTTTCAGTATACAATTTAATATTATTAACTATAATCTTCCTGCTGTATATTAGATCTCTAGATTTGTTCATTCTACGTAATTGCAAGTTTGTACCCATTGACCTACTTCTTCCTGCTTCCCTCCCCTCTCTGCCCCTGGTAACCACCTTCTACTCTTCCTATGTATTTGACTTCTTTCAAATTCCAAATATAAGTGAGATCATGCAGTGTTTTTCTTTCTAAGTCTGGCTTATACTTCCCTTAGCAAGACTTCCATGTTTATCCATGTTGCCACAGATGTTGAAATCTCCTTTTTTAAGGATGAATAATATTCCCTTGTAAATATGCACTCATCTTCATCCATCTGTTGTTGGACACTTAGGTTGTTTCTATATCTTGGCTACTGTGAATAGTGTCGCAGTGAATATAGGAGAATAGATTTCTCTTTTAAGTGTTGAGTTCATTTTCTTTGGGTATATACCCAGAAGAGGGATTGCTGGGTCATATGGTAGTTCTATTAATTTTCTGAGAAATCTTCATACTGCTTTCCATTATGGCTTTACCAATTTGCATTCTCACCTACTATGGAAAAGGGTTCCCTTTTCTCCATACCTTCACTGACTCCTGTTAATCACTTGACTTTTTTGATCGTACAAACTCTAACTTTAAATTGACCTGGGCTGATGCCACATTAAGAATAGGAGAAATTATATTAATATTTAGAATCCCTTACATTCAAATCATGTTTGATGTTTTCAAATTATTTTCACATATATTGTCTAATTTAAACTTATTTTGCACTTATGATATGGCCAACCCAGGACTGTTTTGTAGATGAGGAAACTGAGAATAATGGATTTTAAGTATCTAGCTCCTAGATTGGTTCTTGATCCAGGTTTCAGAATCCAAGCCCAGTGTCTTTTCATATAGTCACAGAATTACCCCAACCCTAAAGCAGTGATGATACTAAATAAAATTAATGTTCTTGTCCCAAAACCCAGAGTGTATGAACTCAAGAGATGTTAGTACTACCGTGGCCCATGCTTCAAATAGAATGTGGGAGAGTGTTACATGTTTCATTTAGAAAAATGTATGAGATGTTCTTTCTGAAGACATTCTATTGCTAACTGCTTGCATTGCATATACAGCTATTAAATCTGCCCAGGTAATGGTTTGCATTAAATATTCTCGTTGAACCAGAACTCGTTGATATCTATGTCATTACCAGCTATGAAATTCTAGAATGCTGAGGTCCTTAACATTGCTTTTGTTTTTTTCTTTTTATCCAACATTTTCCTCCCAGGTAAAATGGTAATCTAAGCAAGGGAAAAGTCTGCCATAAATTATAAAGTATGAAAATTCACCTCCCGGCCAATAGCCTCTCTTGTCATGAATGACATAGTCTCTCAGGACAGATCTTACCATCGTACCATAAACCTGTTACCTCTCATTGTTGGGTGGGAGGTGTCTCATGCCTATGTCATAGCTGCTGGGTTCAACCTAATGATCAGGAGTTTCATATACTTGAACAAGTTCACTTTTTGAAGGAAAAAAGTCATTGGACACAATTTAGGCTTTTTGCTGACAGTTAACTTTCTCAAACTGGTGAGCTGCCAAAAAGAGGGATTTTTTTTTTTTAACAACTTCTTTCTGAAAGAATATGACAACAACAACGACATTAATAAAAAACACCAGTAAGTTTTTTGCAATATGTATTATGATTTTTTTAAAAATGTTTATATCCCCTAATCCAGCAAATACTATTCTGGGATATGGCTCTGAGCATATTATCTTTTTATACAAAGCATTTTCTGAACAAGGGTGCTCAGGACAGTGTGATTTATGAACAGAAAAAGATAGAAAAAACCTACCTGTCCAACATTATGGAAATGGCCACATAAAACATAGCACATACACTCCTTTGATACTATATAGTCATGTAACCATGGGGAGAAATTGACAAATTATTAATGTAACAAAGCAAGCT